CAAGACAAGCAGACTTCTGCACCTGCCCACCAGAATCTTAAAAGTTTATATAGAGGTTTTAGCTGGGCTCAATCCTCTAAACAATCAAGATGTTTTCAACAATACCCTACTTTCATGGCCATGCCTTAGAAAAGAGCTCCCACTGTGGGAATGGTAGGGAGAATATACATTCCAAGGACAGGAGTTGGGGGAGCTCTTGATTGCTCAGGGTCTAACACATGGGTCAACCAGTGGTCACGTACTCCCAATGACCTCCTCCAACAGTGAATATTATGATGGAACAAGATATGTTAATGCATAAAATGCTTTACAACTGTTCCCTTTGTTAAGACATTCTGATGAATAATTATAGACTTGCTGTTGCAAATCTATGTGAGAAAAACGAATTTGGGATGTTTTTATTTGGTCCACTTAGATTTTTTCCAAGCTTCTAAAACTTACTATTATTATTTCATAATCTACTAAAATATAATCAAAACATAATAATCTCCTTGATGGCCAAGACTTTATCATGTGTGTTTCCACTGCAGCTCTTAGTAACATGTCTTGTTCAAAACAGGTATTCAGAAATGTGTATTGATTTGAAAGACTAATTTTGTTTTTTCTGAGGACATTTCTACCTAGTACACACTAGGTTGCATCTGTAAAGATGCTTCCCAACAAACTCAAACTTGTCATCAATAATAACATCAGGAATTATAACCAAAGTGCTAGTTCCATGTTTTTGTTTGCAACAGATTACTTCTTAGTAAATAATTAATTTTATTGGTATTAAGCTATGAATTAACAACTAATTTAGCCTTATTTAAAGACTAACTTTCACTGAATTATCATAAAATTTTAAAATGCATCATTTTCTGTATTTTTACATTTTACTCACAGTATTTTCTTTAATTTATTTTTTTTATTGTAGTATTAAAAATGAAGTATGATCTCGAGATTATTTTGTGTGAGATCATAAGTAAATTTACATGTTATTGAATAAGTCTTTCATCATCAAATTCAAAATAAATTAAAAATATTTTAAATGTAAAAAGTAAAAGTTGAATTATTTAAAATATTTTCAGCTTCTGAGATAACACCCTATTTTTTAAAAAACTGACAGATGACATAATTTCTTTCTCAAGCTCAGAAAGTTACTTTTACTCAATAAAGTAATATTTATGACATTCAGAAATTGTCTACTGTGTTGATATGTGTCTACCAAAACTCAATATAAAATGAGTTGGATGGCATCCCCTTGTTATCATTATTTTTGTGATATTTATTGAACATTTATTGCTTGGGAAGATAGAATTGTCTCTTGAGACATATTATACAAATGTGATAGAAATTATTAGATTTATGCATGAGATCTGTTTGTCTTATCATCTCTTAGAGAAACCATTATTATGGCAAAATGCCCTGAGATGCATGGTCATTTTAACTATATTAACAGTTAAAATTGCTCCTTTTCATTAAGAAATTTCAGTTGAAGATAAAAGTGAAATTCTTTGTTGATGCATTTAATAATCTAAAAGAAAAAGGGTTTGAAGAGTAGTCAGAATTTCTTGACTTAATTTTACTTATTTATTAAAACTCACTAAATAGAAAGATACTTATTTTTTAAATAATTCCAAAAATAGCTTCATGTTATAGATATAAATGACTCCCAGCTTGAATTTATTGTCCTGTATATCATTATTCTGAAAATGCAACTCACAAATAAAACCAGACAATTCAAATGTTGACACATCATTTTAAAGTGTGTTTCAGAGAACACTACTTCAAATATTCACTGTCACTGCATATGCACATTATAAAGCCCTATATTGGTAGGAGTTTAACAAATTAGATTAACCTCCAGAGTATCTCATAGCCTTCAGTATATTAAAATACGATATGAGTTTCCAAGGGGAAATATACTGTATAGTGAATTCCCTACATAGAGTTTCCTGAATTTTCTTGAGAATAGACCAGAACATCTTTTTGTCAGGCAGCTGGAAAATTAGAGTTCCAAGAAATGCATTTTCAGAGACACATGATACAACGGTTATTCAAGCCTGACCAGGAAAAACAAAAGATCCATTCAGCACGAGCACCAATTATTGGGGAATCAACAAAACCGAATAGTATTGTTACAAAACAGCACCCTCCCTTTCTTCACCCCCCACAATAATTACTTTTAGTGTAATCTGATTTTGCAGAATCAAACTTGACTAAAATATTCAACAAGGCTTAATATGTTGGATTTTCAAGGGGTGGAAATGTCCTTCTATATACATGCTAAGTAATTTTTCTTTTTTATGGTTGAAAATTGGGATGATATCCACCAATGTATGAGGAATTTAGATTGGCATCGGTAAATTTAGGGCATTTTGAAGGATTTGAGATTCACAATTTTTTTTTCTGAAATTGAATGGATGTAAAAGTGGCACCTTCAATTGTCAAGCACCCAGGAACTTACTTTTAATCACCAAAGAGCAACAAATTCAGGGCAAAAAAGTCAATAGCCAAAGGTAGCAATTCACTCACCCATGTAAGGTAACGATTTATATTGGATATGTTGTAAAGGAACCTACTTTATTTTTGTCTATATCTTTGAGTAGAATGAACTAATGAATTTTTAAAATCTGTTATTGGTTTTCTTACTTGCTACAGATTTTACCTTAAAAATTTTTTTTCAAACAAAGCCAATCATGCATATTGTTTAATTGTTCATGATATAGATCTTTTTATAAGTACACCTTTAATTTTTAAATAATATGCATATTATAACTCAACAATATTGTAATATATGCATATTTAAATATTTTAATGGAAAAATATTCTGTCCTTTAACATCATTTTTATAAACTTTACTACTTATAATAAATTTAATAATTTTCAGAATTTATTGAACTCCGCAAAACTACGTTTTAAACTATATTCAGCAATCTAGCCAATTCTACCATATTACATTGGTATTAGCAAGGAATACACTGCTCCATATGAGTTGAAGTTTTGGAATATTTATTCACATAAAGAGACAAAGTGTTTAACTAAAATAAGGTCTATTGAAAACTTTTAAAGATATGTATTTTTCAAGCTCTCTTAAATAGAGATTCTGAACCTAAGCTCACAATGTCATCAGAATTCCTATATCTGAAAGGAGTTTGAATTGCAGACCTAGTTCTATTTACCTGTACAGGCAACTGCCCCAAATACTGAACTTGAATGTTTTCCCTCCCTGCCTAAGAACCGTCTCTCCTCAGTGCAGATTGGATGTTCTCATGCCTTCTGATCTGCCCCATATTTTCCTCCAATCTTCTGAAGTTAATCAGAGGCTGGCCCTAGGCTTCTCCTCCAGAGAATGTTCATAAATTTTGTGCTACTTTCCCTAAGGAGAGGCTCTCACTTCTAGATTTATAGCTGTGTTTAAGGTAGAGTGGGAATGCAGAAAGTCTGACCTTCCAGAAAGTGAAATGTTTATACATCAAATCACTCCTAATAATAAGAGATCATTTTCACTTTTGTTCACTTGCCCCAGGGCCACTATGTTTATGTGCAACACTTCCTGTAAAAAGTTGACAGGAAGATCTGGGTCAAATTTCACACTAATGCACAGCAACTCTTTATTCATGCATTTATTTACTCTCCATCTGGTTCCATAAAGGTTTTATTACCTCTAAGCAAGTCTTTATGGTTAGTATATCTGAATTTTTCTGTTACTTTGAATGCATTTCAGCTTTCTCTTTCTTTATTAATAAATTTGGGTATGGACTTTCAAAAAAAGTCAGGCAGAAAACAGTTTGCAAATCACGGCTCAGCCTAGGGGTTTCACATACATTATAGTTTTTAATCCTCACAACAACACTCAAATTAGGTATTACTGTTCCCTGCCTCACAAGTACGTTAACTGAGACTCAGAAAGCTTAAACAAAACCCCATGGTCCTACATTTAAAAGTTGTGAAGTGAGAATTCTCACCCAGTCCTTTCTGAGTTAAAACCCCTGATTACTTCTACAATAATACATGGCTTTTAAAAACAGTCAAAAAGCAAAATAGTCTGTGGTCATTAGACAACTACGTGGAACAGAGGTCCACAGTTGATATTCAAAATTATGACCTGAATCCTTTAAGGAAAAGTTATATTTTATCCAATATATTTCTTCAAGATCTTGAAATTCTAACATACCTTAGGCGATTCAACCCAATATAGTTCTTCTTTTCATAATCCAAGTATTAATACAATTAATAGTGCGTAATCTCAACTTCAGACATCCAGAACAATGAATTCTCATAAGTTTAAGAAACCACGGTTTTATAGTCGATATAGTTTTACTTTTTGCTACTTGAACTACTATTAAAATTAGCCATGCCCTGTCCTAACATTAACTCTCTAACCTCAGTAAATTTATAGACATAATTAGCCTCCTATACCCATCAGATGAACCATGATTCTGCTCAAGGTTATAGCATATTCATTTGAGCAAATATAGGTGACCACTATAGTTCATTGACATTTAATTTTTTTAGCATCAAGGTAAAGTTACTTTTATGACTTTTGTAGCGAAAAAAAAAAAAATCTATAAACTTTATTCTTACATTAGAAGTTAACTTATTTCATAAAACATTAAAATATCCTATAATACTGATAAATTTTCCTTGAAATATATTCCCAGTATGTCCAAGAGAAATTAGGCTGAACATTTGCTAAACTTTACATCAATAAATAAAATAATTTTCCAGTATTGAGGCAATCACAACAGAGGCTCAAAATAAATCATATCTCGTTTTTAAAGTGAAAGTAAACCATATCATTTAACTAAATCGAATTTGCCCACATTCTAGTGATGAAAAATTTTTAATAACTTTATTACATTATTTTAGTAAAGATCATGGAATTCCCCACTTCAAGGTCATTGGCCAGAAAACCATGAAAATACAGACTGGCTAACACAACTTCCAATCCCTGACAGCTGCTTCTTCACGCTGACAATTGTTATAAATCTGCATACGCTAAATCTCACAGATCTTACCGTCAGTTTCTCCTCTAAATTCTCATTTAATACGCTTCCTTTTTCATGCTTTCCAACTTCCATGTTGAGAGAGAGAGAGAGAAACAGGAAAAGAGAGATTCGGGTTCTGTCTAGAAAATGATGCGGCCGCTCGCACGTTAGATATTGCAGGACATTCCAAGTTGTGAAAGCCCAGGACACTATCAGGAAGCCTTGGCGATAGTTTCTGGTTAGCTAGTGTTTCCATTTATAGATGTTCAAACCCCATAAACAGAGCACTGAGGAGAAGTCAGGCAGCTGGCCTTAGATAATGATAAATGTCACTAGATAGAAAAGCAAACTCTTCAACAGGAGAATATTCCAACAGGTTAAGTTCTCTGAACAAAGTAAGATGTGTGTGACAAACAGCCACTGTCAAAGGATTCATTAACAGCCTCTGGAGCAGAATAAAACACACTCTAGAATGCAGACCTAATAAATCAGTTTTAAAAGGACTAATGTGATAGTCATATAGCAAATATGAATCAGCCAGTCTTGTTCTTCCAAATTCCAATTTTTGTCCTGATAATCCAGGCATTATGCATTATTTTGTAGCTCAAAAACTTTTTAAAACAATTAAAGGGAAAGAGCAAAGGATAACTAATTACAACTATTAAGACACACAACACATATATTCAAAGGGTGTTACCAATTCTGCTCCCTGAAAATTTGGCAAATGGTGCTTAGAAACACCATGAAATAAAAGTCATGTTTCTTTTCACAAAAACTGATTTTGTTCTGCTTTTCTACCAGGAACAAAGTTATGAGATAGATGAAATTTATTTCTTGAATGGAACAAATATTTTCAGGATTCTTTAGAAATTGTCACATGCCTTAAAGAAAATGAATTATGTAACTTGCTGGTAATTAACTCTCTCTGTTGTTTTTACAGCAATCCAGATATGTAGAAGGCAATAAAGAATAAAAATGGCTTTCAGAGTCAACTAAGACTGATCTCTGTGTTGGCCTAATCCCTCAATATGTTGAAAATGCCCTTTTAACACCAGTTTCTGACCTTAACTCAAATTTCCTATCCGTTTTTTCTTTACTTCTTAGGAAAACAATTTAGGAAATGTGTTGTGAAGCTCTGTCCTTGAGCATGATTACAGCTGTTTCTTTGTGGTCAAGCAGGGTTGCTCTAAGCCAGACCTGCATCGTCATGGAAGGGCTGAGGATTTCAGTGAACATCTAGTAGGAAATAAGCCTAACTATTCCTACTTGAGGATAATAAATTCAAAAACCCTGTGTTAGATGCATGGGCAAAAGGGCCTTCCCTCCTTGGCTCAACCATGAATTCTAGAAAGGGAATCAAACTTGTTAGCTGTTCCCTAACAAGTTTGAAAATTTGAAGTCGTCTAGATTTATTAGAGTGCAAGATTGGCATGTGTCAAAAGCAAGGCAATCATTNGAAGTCGTCTGGATTTATTAGAGTGCAAGGTTGGCATGTGTCAAAAGCAAGGCAATCATTGAAATTTTATGTAAATAGAACCTCCAAAATCTCTTTAGAAAAAAAAAAGGCACATTATGGCTGCAAAAGGAAACTCAGTTCTGCCTAGTTTCATGCCTGAAGGTGGAATTCAGGGTCCAGTTAGAAGTAGAGGAGTGGGGGGATATAGAGCTGGTTGGAGAAGAAGAGAATGGTGATGACGGGAGGGATGTGGCCGTGGTACTGGGAGGGAGTAAAGTTGTAATTCAACAACCGTACTGAGTACCTATAATGGGTGAAGATTATCCTAGATGCAGGCAGATTTTTTAAAATAATAAATAAAAATAATAAAAGATAAGCTGTCTACATTTTTTCCTTAGTGAACTCACAATGTAGGCATGACTGTATATTAGTAGAGTAGTAGCATTCTTATAGAGCTGACTTCAATAGCATTCATATGTGCCAGAAACTGCTTTAAGCCTTTCCATATATTATTTCAGTTAATTCTCAAAACCACTCTAGATGGTAAATACTATTATTTTCTCCATTGTCATGGGCTAAAATGTGTCCCCCACCAAAAACAAATTCATATGTTGAAGTATTAACCCCCAATATCTCAAAATAAGACTATATTTGGAGATAGGGTCTTTAAAGAGGTAATTAAGGTTAAATGAGGTTATTAAGGTGGGCCTTAATCCAATATGACTGGTGTCCTTATAAGAGGAGATTAGGACAAAGATACATATAGAGGGAAGACATGGGGAAATGATGGTCATCTACAAGCCAAGGAGAGAGCCCTCCAGAAAAAAACAACTCTGACAACACCATGATCTTAGACTTCTAGCCTCCAAAAGTGTGAGGAAATATATTTCTATTGTTTAAATCACTAAGTCTGTGCTATTATTTATCACAGCCCTACCAAACTAATACACCCATTTTTAGAGTTGAAAAAATAAGACATAGTTACACACCTCCTAGGTGGTACTCAACCCCCTAGCCCAAGCTCCTAACAGCTGTGCACTTTAGTGCCTCTGATCAAATAATTTCCTCATAGGCGTAACAGAGAGAGCGGGGAAATAGCACCAGCACTGTATGATGAATACCATCTGCTCCATGCATTTACAGAGATATGTTTAAATAAATATATTTTAGATATGTTTTAAGAACAAGAGTTTCCTTGAATAAAATTATGCCCATGCAAAGGTTCCTATTAAGATGGTGGCATAGGTAAAGGCATACTTAGAACTTCCACAACCACATCAAAATTACAAAGAAACTACAGAACCACCATCATTCAGAACTGCCTAAAATCTAGCTGAGCAGAAGTCCTACAACTAAGGATATAAAGAAGATACATTGAGACTGACAAAATACAATAAAACTCAAGATGACAGCTCAACATCCATACTGAGAAGTTAAGTAGCTGAGGTAAAAATTGTTATGACCCAAAATATTGTTAAAATATTGGAAAATGAAGATTGACTATCTTCACTGACAGAACAGACAATCCCCAAACAACTGCCATAGACTCCCAGAAAATAAGAAAGATTGTTAGGAGAATCTGGTGGAAACACTTCAAAAAGATTATAATCCTCACCATGGCAATTCTTTCAATCATCATGATTCTTTTAAGTACAAATATCGTACCAACCCAACCCTTCTTCCCTCCATCCCCAATAGGTACCAATAAATTGTTACATGTAAAAAAATTGTGCCCATGCAAAAGCTACCCCATATCCACTTGCTGGTCAAACAGAAGAGACTGAGCCACACTGGTCCCCTTTCTGTTCATCAATCACAACAAACATGTTCCTTCCTCTGAGTGCTGTGCTCTCTCCCCATAGTCATGGGTCCCCCTTCTCACTTCATCCAGGTCTTCCCGGTGACCCCATCTACTTGTCCATTCATTTGCTGCTGTTTCCTTCCCAGCTCTACCACCTCTGGTATTTTATTATTGCACATGATGTTTCAAGCTTATCCATGTCTATTTATCTGCAGTTTGTCTCTCCCACTAGAGTATAAGCACCAGGGGGCGGTTTATTCATCACTTCATCCAGGCACTTAATACACAGTAAGCCCTAAATAAATCCTTGTGAAGGAAAGAGG